GGATACCAGAGATGGCCACTAGAGGGACATCATGTGCCTAACATTGGAAATACTTATAAGATACAGCTGGAACAGGCTACACATACCCACAAAGGTTTCATTGAAGTGCACAGGGTGTGTGTAGTATGTCCTGTCCCTCTGTCCCACTTCTGTGCCCCCTCCTCGTTGACAGCAATTTTCAGCTCTCAAAATAACAGCTGGGAGTTGTAAATGTAGTGGCTTTAAGGGTACGTTCACACCATATGCAGTGCGTTCCGGCCCGATTCTGGCCAGAACGCACTGCATCGCATTGCGGCTGGCTCACTATTTGGTGGGCACGGTGCCATTGATTGAAGTGAATGGCACAGTACCCATGCCCTCCAGCCGCAATGCGATCACCCGTACGGGATTGCAAGACACATTATGCCTGCGGTCCGGTGGGATCAAAATCCAGCAAGCACTATTTTGATCGCACCGGTGATCCCGTTCGGGCGATCGCATTGCGGCCGGAGGGTGTGGCAACGGTGCCACTCACTTCAATGGCCCGTCACGCCCCCTCCGGCCCCACGAAATAGTGAGCAGGCCGCAATGCGATTCAGTGCGTTCCGGCCAAAATCGGGCCGGAACGCACTGCATATGGTGTGAACGGGCCCTAAAAAAGTGGTGGGCAACTCTAGCTCTACAGCTGTACAGCTGTAACTACAAATTCCAACATGCATCTGTCATGCCTGCAATTGTAAGTCTTGCAATGCCTCATGTGACTTCTAGTTCCACAACAGCTGGAGGGCCGCAGAAGCTACTTCTGTCAAAAGAACGTATGTCATAGTGTTTACAGACACTGTTCATACACAAGAGTTAGAGAGGCACACAGGGGTCCACGGCCCAAGCACCCCTAGGTGGCTCTGACAAGTACAGGAAATTCCCATATTTGTCAGCAGTGCACCATCTAGGGGTGCTAGTGCTATGCAAATGAGCTCTTGAACTTTTATAAATGAACCCCAAAGTAACATTGTTACTTTTATATCCACTCTGTTTCATACATCTGTAGATCAAGGGGGTGAGCTTCGATCTGCATACGTGTCTGTGAAAGCAACTTAACTATTAATAAAATGTGTTCTTATTTAATCCCTTAGTGACCAGTGACAACCATAGTGCATCACTGGCACGGGGCCCGTTTAAATAGACTCCCGGCAGCTAAAGGCTCAAAGTAACATTGTTACTTTTATATCCACTCTGTTTCATACATCTGTAGATCAAGGGGGTGAGCTTCGATCTGCATACGTGTCTGTGAAAGCAACTTAACTATTAATAAAATGTGTTCTTATTTAATCCCTTAGTGACCAGTGACAACCATAGTGCATCACTGGCACGGGGCCCGTTTAAATAGACTCCCGGCAGCTAAAGGCGCCGGGACTCTGTTTACAATTGTAAAGCCGACTGTTGGCTTTACAATAGCGATCTGGCAAATCAGCTGTCGCCAGATCGGCTTTTCCGGGCCAGTAAATG